CAGTTTATTAGTGCCCAAATACGTTCCCAAACCGATGATAAATAGTACATATTTGGGAGCACACATTTGGGTTTGGGAACATATTTAAGATGCATTATCTCTAATCTGCTGCACGATTATCACGGAAATCTCAGAACAAAGTAGGCTGGAATATTTGGACGTTTATTTTTCTCGAGTCCAGTTAAAGTACGGGACGATACTCTTAGTAGCTCTTAAGGTTTCGAAGCGACTGCAATTGCAGTTTCCAATTCTTTGCCGGTGGTCACCTTTTTCACAATGTCCAATAGATCATTCTTCTCGTGATGTCTAACATAGTACTCTGTGTAAGCTTTCAAGTAAGCGAATTTTGGATCAGTGTTCTTAAGCTTTGAAACAGCCGGCTCCATTCCATAATTCGCGATGTATAATGGAGAAAATCCATCTTTTAGCCATCTCTGATAGAGTTGTGCCAGCAAGGTTTTAGCCAACGGTTTCAAATCGGGAAAGCCCTTGAGCGATTCAGCGAGTGTTCCAAATCTGTTAGAACGGATCATCGTCTCTGCTGACAAGAAGTTGAATATATCCACGTCAGAAAATGCTTCACCTCCTGACTTACTCCTGTACAATTTTGTGTATCTGAGCCACTGAATAAACAGTGGATTGTTGCTGAGAGTCTGCTTGTTCAGGCGTAAGATATTGAAGACTTGCGCGGGACTTTCTCCGGACTTGAGCCATTCTCTATTCACTATTTTGCGACTGGATTTGGAGCTCAAAATCATGTACGCTTGCATTTCATCTGCGAGGTTCTTGACTGCCGAATACCGGCGGAGTGATTGAAACAGAGTCACCAGTTCTGCATCCGATTTCGACTTCCTCAACAATTCAACCAGTTTGTAGTCGGCGAACCAGGACTCTCCTCCTCGCTTAGCCCTGTATTTGTTCACATACTGTAGCCACTGGATAAATCCCTTGTTGTCATCGAGCTTCCCACTAGCTCTTACAGAACGTAAACGCTGGAAAATATCCGCCGGGTTCACTTCCCATTTCAAGAACAGCTTGTAAGCTATACCATCGAGCATTGTCCAACCCGGAATGCCAACCCTCTCTTCCTTGATAGTGCCTTCATCGCCGGTTTTGTAGGACCTTAAGGAACTTGGTTGGATGCTCAAGTTCGAGCTCGCAGGGGACAAGCGAAGTTTCGAGAAATCGATACTGGTGTGGTCCGGGCGTTTGGGCTTCTCTGCGTAATTCAGCGAGGAGCAAGCAGAGATCTGAACAAGGTAGAGGACTAATAAGAAGACCAAGCCCATTCTGCTTTCTCGATTTCTTGAAGTCGTTGGTATCGCGGGAAATTTAAGTAGTGATAAGATTGTCCCTTGCTCCGGTGATACGTCTATTGTAGACTCTACACCGTCGCGTTACGATCGCCTTGTCTTTGGTTGACAGCTGCGATAGCGTACTTACTTTCAAAGCACTTCCCTTTTTTACCTTGAATAATGAATCCAGTCCAGCTACGCTAAAAGCAGCAGCTGACTTAGTCCATCCACAAAATGTTGATACTGCAAAAACAAAAAGCTACTCACGATAGCGACTTTAATGCACTATTAGCTGATAAGGAGACATGCTTAGTGGGGAGGTGCTGGTTCAATTTCTGGTGAAATGAGTCTTGAAAAACATCAAAAAGGCGCAACAGAGGAAACAATATTAGGGAATTACTAGTGTGTTATAACCCCTTGTATTCCGATGTAGCGGTCGCCATTCTCAAGGCATCGGAAGTGTACTGGGCCATAAAATTGAGTCCTTCCGGCTACCTGTAGCAGCGTGAACGATCAGCAGCTGGTATAGGACAATAATGAAGACGCGGATGACTGACTGGGACATGGCGTCTAATACCTACAGTAATTCCAAGCGTGGTACTTACCCATTGCGACAAGTTCTCGCAAATAGATAACACCAAGCTGATACCATGGTACACCGAGGACTAGCACGAAATACAGTGTATGTATAACGCAACAATTGATGACTAGCTAACGACAATCTTGCTTGCTTTCTAAGTACCGTACAATGCTTATCGTTAGTGCGTCCCCTACCGTACGAGCAATGTCGTAAAACCCAACAAGAAAACACAGCTTCAGCAAGAGTAAATCTGGAAGTTTCTGATTTACTCTTTGAACTTGCCACAGGACAGATCTTGTATTCTAAACTGCTGAGGTAACAAGAGCTCCCACCTTTCAGAAATATAAGCATAGGATTTAGCTAGAGTTGGAGCGATTCCCGCGAGACTTCCAAAAAGCAGTTTCTCAAGTTCAAAAAAGCATAAATTTGAAAGGAGGCCTTTCAGACTCCAAATGACAAGGGTGTTCGATTTTAAAAAAGGACAGCAGTTTAGGAATCAAACGGTTTCAAATTGCTGCGGGAATCGCTCCAATAGGAGTTTCCGGATCTGTGGAAAGTCGTTGGCATACAATAAGTTGCCAGTTTGACCAGTGTTAGTTCAAACGATACTTTTTAAAACGCATTGCCTGTAATAGAACATAGTATTCGACTATTTTGTACGACAGGTCTAAGAACAACATATTCCAGTCTTTATAGCTCTATTATACAAACTGAGCCGATCAATGGTACCCTCAGCTTTATATCGCAAGATAATA